AAAGAAAATAAAAATATCTACTCCTCTTCATCCCCAATATCACCACTAAAGTTCTGGCCCTAATTATCCCTTGCTTGGACTCTTCCAAGCTGGAATCTCAGACCCCCAATTCTCCAAGCCATTTTCTATACTGCCACCAGAACTCATCACATCTAGTCCCTGGATGGCTCCATGTTGCCTTGAGAATAACATTCAGACTCCTTGGTAGGACGGAAAGACTTATGAAAGACTCTTCATAACTTGGTCTTAGCCCTTCCAGCTTTATCCTCATCCCTACTTTCCATTCACACTAGGTTTCAGCTGTATCAGAATTCTTGTCATCCTCCAAACACATTGTGCAATTTGATGCCTCTGTGGCTTCCTTCTACTCTCTGTGTCTATTTGGAAATTTTCTACTTTAAGACCTGTTTCATTTTTGACATCTCAAGCAGAGGTGATGGCTTCTTCATCTGTACTCACACAGAATATACTGGTAAAGAAACAACAATGAGTTGTAATGAGTTATCTCTGCTCACTGTAGACTATAACTGCTTGAAGACTGGAAAGTGGATATTGTTCTGAGAGATTCTGGAGTCAGACTACTAGAGTTTAAAGCATACCGGCTATGTGACTTTGGACAAGTTACTTAACCTCTCTGGGCTGCAGTATCCTCTTCTATAAAATGGGTATAATAAAAATAACAACAACAAAAACAATAATAACTATCCACAGGACTATTATATAAATACAAAGCAGGGCCTGACGTATACTAAGTACTATGTTAACTACTACAATTACTATACTTACTATTATTAGTGCTATTATTACTGTTATTATTGTAGACCCCTAATAAATGAACTAATAAGCAGTTTTAGCCTTATAAACTAAACTAATTATTAACTTTTCAGAAGATATGGAAAGACGCTTTATAAAACTTTCCTGATGAATCAGATTTGAGGGAGTTATGCTTAAAATAAACAATTCCTATTTTTCTATTGTGTGCTATAATTACATGAAAATGGAGTCTTAGAAATCTGTATATTGAGAAAGTGGTTTTTAAATTAAATTATTCAAAATTACTTTTTCCACATATTAGAAGATAAATGAAAGCTAAGTTTTTTCTTAAATACAGAAAAAATGATATATAATTATTATAAATCCATTACAATAGGATTCCTGGTAAATACAGGTGATTAATGAATAGAAGAGTTCATATTTGAAATATAAGGAAAATTTCTACTTACATCAATTTAATAGTTTGTTCAGAAACTGAGTGATCTTTTGCATCAACTAATTTGTAAAAGAATAGTAGTCATTTGAATTCATCATAAAGTTCACCACCAAATAGGACAGAGACACATTTTCAAATAATTAAAGATATAATAAAGATATACTGATTATTCATACTCAGTAAATTTTATATGTAATCATAATTGCAAAAGTGCCAACGCCCCACACGTTTTATAGAATCACATATAAATAAATATAATCTAGTAGGAAAAAGTTATTAAAAGAGATTCCAACCTTTATCATTTGTCTCTCAAAATTATTGATTTATAACTTACAGCACCACTTCTCAGACTCCCTTCCCTCCTCTAATTTACTCTGCAGCTACTTTGGAGCCTCCCACTGGTAAACCTCCAAAACCCTCTCGTGATATTAGTGGGTTTTCTCCCTCTGATTCCTTCCTCCTCATCTCTAAGTCTTGTTTGTGCCAGTGGACATAAGCTTCTAGCTTAGTCTAATTCCCCTGCCTGGCTTCCCATCACTAGGTTTTTTTCTCAACTCTCTCTACTGAAAAAGGGGAAGGGGTGGGAGAGGTATAGGGGACAATTACACATTAATGAATCCTGTGCACATCACAAATAATAAAGGCTCACTACAGATCTGTAATATGTTCCAGCAGATAAATTATTAATGAATAACAATTAGAATTAGTTGTTTATCTTGTCTCATTATTTCTAGAAAGGGAAAATATATTCTCCAATATAAGTTGTAATTCTTCACCAACTTAATTTAAAAAATAAATATCCCATTACGCTAAATTTTCACATCTTCCACAAAGCATATATAATGTGTCAATGTATAAAATGTATATATATTCTATCATATATAACAGGAACGAAAAAATTACCCTACAACCATACTTTATAATTTATTGGATTGCTTTTATCTGAATTTTTAAAGAATTCTTAAAGCTTAACAGTAATAATTTTCATGTGTTTATAATTTCCTTGGTAAGAAGACACTAAATTCATATCTTTAGCAGAGCCACTTGAATCTGGTGCAGCTCTTTGACAAAATAAATACAAGGCAGTTGCCATCCCCTGACTGCTATTCAGTGACATCAGCTACATGAAGGAGATCCTCCAAACAAATAATTCCCACTCCAGGAATGAAGTCCGTGGAGTTGCGTGTATCCTTCACATAATGACCCCAAGGTGGAAGATACTGTTTTAGAACATCCACACAACTTCTCTTCCACATCAGCTGACGGGCTCTCCAATATATTTTTAGGACAACACATTTTAGCATTCTCAAGGGATCATTTATTTACAAACAACTTTAAATGATTATTAATTTATCTTCACTTCCTGAAACACAAATCTGATATTCTTCTTCCCAAACTCTCCAATGACTCCCCATTTCCTACAGAATAATGTCAAATGCTTTAGTTTAACATTTTAGAATCCCGTCATAAATAGCAGAACCCTGACTGAACACACAGGTCGGTCTGACAATGCATAGTCTAAGGCATATAATGCAACATTATTTTAGTGCAAAGGTAATATTACAAATTTTACTCTTATTTTATAGATAAGAAAACTGAGGCTTGGAAAAGTGCAGTGACTTGCCCAAAGTCGCAGAGCTAAGAAGTGGAAGAGACAAGAAACAGGAATAATCAGAGAGCAAAAAAAGAGCTCTTATAAATTAAAAATAGGGTCGCTAAAAGGAAAATTCAGTAGAGTTTATCTTCAATGGAAGATACAATTAAGAACATCTCCTGGGTAAGCTGGGACGAAGTGAGAGAGTAGCATGGACTTACATATACTACCAAATGTAAAGTAGATAGCTAGTGGGAAGCAGCCACATAGTACAGGGAGATCAGCTTGGTGCTTCGTGACCACCTAGAGGGGTGGGATAGGAAGGGTGGGAGGGAGACGAAAAAAGGAGGAGATATGGGGATATATATATGTATAGCTGATTCACTTTGTTATAAAGCAGAAACTAACACACCATTGTAAAGCAATTATACTCCAATAAAGATGTTAAAAAAAAAAAAAGAACATCTTCTGACAAGTAAAACAAAAAGACAAAGAAACAGAAAATAGAAGAGGTATGAAATCAATCCCAGAGATTTAACTTTGACTAATGGGAGAATGAGAAAGTGAGAACAGAGAATATAGAAGGGAATAAATTTTCAAAGAAACAGTATGTGGCAGAGAATGTTAACTGTCCACAGAAATCCTTTCTCCTCTTCTTCCTGGGCGCTAACTACATTTCTCAGGTTTCCTTAAGAATTAAGAGGTCAAGTGACTAAGTGCTCTCAAATGGAATGTGAGTGTGAGTAATGCAAGCCATTTCCAGGTCTGGCTCATAAATTCTCCCAAGTACTTTTGCCTTCTTGTGGGCTGAAATGGCAGTCAACAAAGTGATCTTAGGAACCACATGTTGAAGGAACCCCTGCTGACCTAGAACATCTGTTCTTCTCTATTATGTGAGAAATAAATTTACCTTGTAGTTGGCCACTCTATTTTGGGGTCCATCTGTTATAAAGCTTAAGGTTTGTTATAAGTTTAGCCTACCCTAACTAATACATGATACAAGTATATTTCCCTTTCCAGAATTGAAATACTTAATTCTCCAGTAAAAACAATATTTCGTACAAAAAAACAAAGTAATTATAGTACACTACTTTGTTCGACAATGAATAATAATTACATAGCTATAATAATATAAATATGACTAATAAAATTAAAAATTGTGATAAAGTATATTGGGAGGGTTAAGAGAAGGAAAATGGAGTAACAGTGGTGGTGGAAATACTAAATTGTCACCTAGTCTATGAGAAAGTTAAAAGATATTTTTTTTAAATTGGTAAATCAGAAGTTAGTAAAAGCCCATTATTGATAATATACAGGTAAATACCAGATGAACAAATAAAAAAGATGAAAGTGGTTGTCTTTGGGCAATGGGACTGAGGAATAGAGAAGAAAGAGACAAAGAGCTGATGTTTGTTGATATTTCTGATTTTTAAACTATGTGGTATGTATTATTTTGATACAATAAAATGTTTTAAAATGTACAAGAAAGGATTCGGGAATTGAACACAGATGAGATGGACTAGAAGAGCATGCTAGATTCAAGATGGTAAAGTAGAAAGATAGAGAAGGGGAGACAAAAGATAGTCTGCTATCCCCAAGCCTTTCTACATTCATATTTCTGGTTTTAGGAGTTGGAGCAGCCTCAAAATGCCCAAGAAACATTTGTAAATGAGTATACATAAAAAGTAATAATCAGGAACTCTATTATTTGACCAGACTTTAGTTTTTTGGCTGCCCTGTGGTCCCATATACATACAGTGATATTTATTCTATCCTCACGTGAAGCATGTCACCATAGTAGATGCTAGCCATTGAAAGGATATCGTGTGTGTGTGTGTGTGTGTGTGTGTGTGTGTGTGTGTGTGTGTATTTGTGTAATGAGGGGATTCAGTCTTATGCAAAGAGGCTAAGTGGGCAGCTAGAAAAAGGGCAGATTGGAAAGCACAAGCAATAATGTAATAGGAAGAGATAACAGGGAAGTGGAGGAAAGAGAGGCAGTAAGTGGAAGGGAATTTATTTAGAAAGGATTTTGCTGCAGCCTGAGTAATCCCAGAGACATAGATTTGGAGGGTTAACTTCAAGCATGGCAAATATGAATCCAAAAGGGATCGTTTTCTCAAATGAGGCTAATGCTATATATTACTTTTAACAACTTTTCTAAACTCAAACCTACTTTAAAGGAAAGCACGCACCTACCCTTTGAGGAGCATAAATAGGATATGAGGATGAGCACTAATGTACTCCACAGTAGGACTCCGAGTGCCTATCTGTCGTCTCAGGATGTTGTTAAATATCTGGGTCACATCTTTTTTTCCCTGTTAAAGAAACAACCAACCATTAAGTTGTATACTTTAAATGGGTGAATTGCATGGCATGTGAATTATTTCAAAAGCTGTTTATACACACACACACACACACACACACACACACACACTCGTTCCATTTCATATGACATAGTATTTTCCCACCTGAGATTGTGAATTCTTTGACTCAATTTGTCTAATGATAGGTACAAAATATATAAACAACCAAAAAAATCAAGATCAAATAAAATCAATGCCCTACACATATAGTAAGCATTTCAAACTGTTAAATGCATGAAGTACAGTCAAAGCTTGTGTCTCAAGGCTTTCTGATTTCTCATCTTTATAGTAATAAAACCAAAGGTTAAGGACCACTTTTTAATGAGGGTCAGGGAACAGAAAAGGATATTTAGGGAATGGAAATTTTCAAAAACTTAGGACCATAAAATGGCTTATTGAGAAGCTGATCCTGGAGTGCTTATTTTGCTTATTTTTTTAAAAATGTAGCTTATTTTTTTTAAAACGTAGCAATCTCTAATAATCATTAGAGATTAAATTAGAGATGGACTATAAGAGCATGCTAGATTCAAGATGGTAAAGTAGAAAGATAGAGAAGGGGAGACAAAAGATAGTCTGCTATCCCCAAGCCTAGAGATTAAATTATCACAGTAGGAAGTCTTCTGCTTTTTTTTTTTAAACATCTTTATTGGAGTATAATTGCTTTTCAATGTTGTGTTAGTTTCTGCTGTATAACAAGGTGAATCAGCTATATGTATACATATACCCCCATATCCCCTCCCTCTTGCATCTCCCTCCCACCCTCCCTAGGAAGTTTTCTGCTTCTTTGAGCTGCTTTCTAATTCAAACTGAACAGTTGACTTTGCATCCACCCTATTTTCACAAGGCACACCTGCCTTTAAAATGAATGCATCAACTCTTATATGCAATACATTTTCATCCTTTGATCTCTTATCACATTGTGTTTCAAAACATCAAAGAGTCTAAAGCTGTGTCTTGAATAGTGGCCAAACATCAAAAAACACAGCTCTGAGTTTGATCCTGAGCCCACAAATCAGAAATCTTGCAATCTCAGCCATAACTCTTTTTTTTTTACCTCATAAGAAAATGCTGAAGTATTTTTTTTCTGTCAGCAATTTTAAGGCTTAAAGGATTAGACAAAAATTTATGGCTATAAAGTAATGAGATTTTCTTTCAAACAATTTTAACCCAAAGGTCTGTCTTCTAACTAGCCGTTATTCACATAACAGCAGGATCCTCCAGTACTTTCCTCACCCCAATGGACCACTTTCCTCTTGATTCCTGAAGAAGAAAATGGGTTTGCCACACAGATTCCTGAGTCAGTCTCTGCTACCCAATCTAAACCAATGCCTTGGGCCACCATCACTGTTGTCAGCTCTGGATTTCAAATCCCTGCTCCTAGCTCCTCTCAGCCCTTGTTCATTGTCTTGCCTTCTACAACTAGTTATTTTCTCAACTAGTTATTTTATATACTGTTTATCCAAGTATAGAAAACCGCCTCTTCTCCTTCATTTGACATATACTGTTAGTACATATTTCTTTTATCAAGGGTTTAAGGGTAACAAAGGGTAATTATAGCACAGTGCAGAAACAACTTCAAATTGAATCCTGCACATCATAATTAAAGATTATTAAAGATTCCTCAGCATTCCTGATCAGCTTTTTCCTTAAGCCCCTTCCTCTGTCATGGCTCTGGAGCCTTCTATCTCCCTTACTCCAAACCATTCTCCTATCTCTCTTCTATTTCCTACTCCTATCAAATTTAGCCAAAGAGACGGCATTTCTCAAATTTCTGTTATTTTACTCTGCAAAGGGAATCTAAGCTCTTTTCTTTCAGTCTTTTTCCTTCCAAACATTGCCTAGAGACCTCACCTTTCACAACTAACAAAAAAGCCCATGTAGGTGTCTTCTAAACAAAAGTTCTTTTTTTTTTTTTCTGTAAGGAATGCTCCATCCTTTTAGGCTATCTGGCAAAAGCTGCAGCCCTTCCGTAAAGTAATAATTTTCCTTTCCTGTTATAAAAAGATACCAAAGATTTTACAGTCAAATGACTATTATACTCTTCAAAGAAGCCCCAGGAGAGGCTATTCACTTACTGAAGTATTACCATTATTCTTGAATTATGCTCTACACACTTACTAATTCTTTAAGAAAAGTGGCTTACTGCTGTGCTTCAGGACATCTTCCTTTGCTCCAATTCCCTTATCTCTGCTTCTATTTCTCATTCTCATACCTACATTGATTCATTCATCCAACCAATGGATATGGAACTAGGCGTGGGAAATGCAGTCCTAGTACTCAAGATACTCTCAATCCAGAAGGAGCTGTACCAGGGCTACCTAAGAACCAAGAGATGAGGAGGGTGGGGTTCTGTGTGATTAGACTGAGTTTTGAAGTTAGGGGGAGTTTTATCAAATGGTCACTAGTTTATATGGATACTTTAAGCTTGAGAAGGAAAGTTGCTGCCTGTGGGCTGATCATTCACGCTTCCAGTCCATAGAAATACACAGCACATTTTGAAAGTGGGCTCATAATGCTAGTAATGGTTCATCCTTCCTGAAAATACTATGAGTATATAGTTGGTGGAATGCTTAAAACTGAACCATTTTCAATTTTAACTGTTTTTCATTCATTCATTCAACCAAGAAGTATTTATAAGTATTTATTTGCTATGGGTTTGATTGAGGAGGACAGCTTCACCTACTGAATATCACATTCATTTATAACTATGTTCTAGGCATCAACTAAATGAACAAAGTCAAGAACCGTCTGGTCAATTATTCCTCAATAAAGCTGAAAAACAGAACTGTCTGCAATTATCATGATAATAGACCTTCATAATTATAGTGTTGAGTCATCAGTGAAAAATTATTACATCTAGTATATAATTTTGGAGGAGAGGCAAGTATACAATGCATGTTATAAAGAAAATGTAAAGTAATCCACAAAAGTAATCTACTTAACTTTCTTCATTTGAAGAGTTAATCTTTAGCTACATGGAAAATGCACATATTCAGAAAGATAATTTTTTCCCCAAGGATTCCAGAGAATAAAAGTTTACTCTACTTGATAATGTATAAGTCAATTTTTAGGCAATTGAATGTCTTAATCCCCAAATAATTTTTTTTTTTTTTTTGGCGGTACGCGGGCCTCTCACTGTTGTGGCCTCTCCCGTTGCGGAGCACAGGCTCAGCGGCCATGGTTCACGGGCCCAGCCGCTCCGCGGCATGTGGGATCTTCCCGGACCGGGGCACGAACCCGTGTCCCCTGCAGCGGCAGGCGGACTCTCAACCACTGCGCCACCAGGGAAGCACCCCAAATAATTTTTAAGTAAACTTCTCTATATTTATTTCCAGTATACCATGTAAAATAAGGGAAATTTGCATAAGTGTTTCTTACTGTTCCTCTTTTGTTTTCTAAGCCAAAGCTGCACAAAATTGTGAGGCACCCAAAGTTTTTCTCTGGTCTACTCCCACCTCCCCAATTCTTGGAGAGCACTTTGAACCTATGCTATTCTGTGGTCGCTCAAGGCTTCTCCAGGTCACTGGAACTGACGACATCTCATCCCTGACTCATTCTTCAAAACATAACCAGCCTTGGTCATATTCCTTCCAGCATCCCATTGCAAATTAAGCTAATCTCATAAACCAACTCAAGCTAACATATTAATTAGTGGTGATAATAGCTTAATACATTGCTGCTTTCAGGGAAATGTGCAAAACAAGGGGAGATTTATAGAAATATAATACCGTATTCCAAGAGCAGGGAGTTTCCCAGTTATGGTCACTCACCAACTAAATTTAAAACTAAAATAATAAACAAAGAAACAAACATCAAAGGTTATAACAAAAATAAACCAGCTTACATTTAACTTAAGTTTGAGAAAGAGAGAAGATGAAAATATACTATCTGACATCTGTATATATCTGCACATGTATCTAGTGTTCTTCCATAACATGTATATGTATATATATTTTACTTTGTTTAATATTTAAAAACAATGATATAAGTTCATATTATTCCTATTTTATAGATGAGAAAGTTTAGTCTCAAAGAGGTTATGATACTAACTATCAAATGGCAGAGCAGGGACTCTATAAACAATCCTAAATCCAAGTCAAGTGTTTTTCCACTATGCACAGCTCCTACAAATGTCCCTAATACCTCATTTTAAACTAAATTAAAAAAACATGAAAGTATATAAACACAATGATAAAACTACACTTTAATTCCACATATGCCAGGTTTAAAAAGGAAATGGGGAGTAAGATGGGGAGGGAGAGTGACAAGCCAGGCAAGAGGAAAAAGTAGGAAAGGAGATTATTGAGCCGAAAATATCAAGGTTAGAGAAACAGATAAGAGAGGGAAGGAAAGAAAAAAACAGGTGTTTCTGAAAGGAAGGCTGAGTTGAACTCTGGGCCCTGAGAGGCCCTCAGTCAGTGTCGTTTCTAGTCAACACACCTGACTTCACATCTCCAGAGCAGTTTGCCCTGCATTCCT